CCTGCTGCCCCTACCTCATGCCTGCTACCCCTGCGCCTGCTGCCCCTACCTCACGCCTGCTCCCCCTGCACCTGCTGCCCCTACCTCACGCCCGCTGCCCCTGCGCCTGCTGCCCCTACCTCATGCCTGCTACCCCTACGCCTGCTGCCCCTACCTCACGCCTGTTAACCCTACCTCATGCCAGCTACCACTACACTTGATGCCCCTACCCCTCACCTGTTAACTCTGCCTCACATCTGCTACCCCTGTGCCTGCTCCAGAAGAGGAGGGATCAAGAAAAGATGGCAGAGGACAGAGCCATGGCCAGGATGCTTGGTGAACCCCAATCAGCGTGGCATTGCCTGCACTGTGGCTTCTGGTCTTCTGCTTTCGTGTGTGTGACCAGAGAGAAGGGAGGGGCAAAGGGGAGTCCCCTGACAACTTGGTGCTGTGACTTGGAGGCGTCGTGCTGGATGGGTGAGTAGCAGCCAGGTCATTCCCCGCATCAAGTGCCAGCTCAGCTGCTTGGGAGGAGCATCTTGGGCTCTCGTGATAGCAGTCGTGAGGTCTCGCAAGGCAGATGTGATGGGTGGACCAGGCCCAAAGGCCCCTGCTGCAAGCTGCAGGGTCAGAGTATTATTTGTGTGCATGTTCCTGGAATGGCGAAGAAGCATGAAGAATGTTTAGCATATCTGGCATGTAAATTCCCTGCGATGCCTGTTACAACCGTGCCATGAGATCACTTGTTCTCACTTTCTGGTGACACTGTCAAGAATAAATGGGCAGCATTATCACCTGCAAATGTAACCACACTTGTTTGTCTGGGATTGGCTGAAGAAGCAGTAGGACTGAGTGGCCGTGGAGGCTGTGATGGGGTAGATAAAACCTGACCTTCCCGCTGGAAGCCTTTCAGCACCCTGGCCAGCAGCTAGAGCAGTGGAGAGGCCCTCCGAGCAGGGTAGAGGGGCAGCCAACCAGGTTGCAGCTGTGTGCTGTTTAAAGAGCTGCTAGGTAAGGCCTGTCCGTTCTGTTCTGGAGCTCAACCCAGGCGGACGTCTGGGCTGACTAGGAGCACCAGCACCTTGGACAGCTCTAAGTGGAGCCATGTCCTTCGGCAAAAGGCTAGCCAGAGACAGCCCTGAGGAACCCCGGGACAAGGGGAACTATGCAGCTAGGCCTTGAGACGGGCTGGATGAAACAGCATCCCATGGAAGTGACATGACCAGGGACATGACCAGAACTGCAGATTTTGAAACCTGGAAGGTACGTGCTATATATAGGCTGGGACCCAGAGGAGTGGGGGGGCCTGTGTCTCCCTTCCCCCCAAAAAACTACACCCAAGTGAGGTGGTGTCAGCCGACGGTCAGGGCAGTGAGTCCCTTATGACCGGCTGAAGTTCTTTTAAATTGTGCTTGGTTCTGTTACAGCAACTGAAGGAGTCAGGTTAAAGCTTAAACAGTTACTATTT